ATTGTTTGGGAACATCAGCGCCTATGTACATGTACCGGTACATGTGGTGTATGTGTGCATATGTGTACAATGCCACACACAACAAGGGGATAAGTTTTTGCTGAATAAATGAGATTCCTAACTGAATAGTCAGGTTCACTGATTAATTTTGTTGTATTTTTGTGCTGTAGCCTTTTGTGGCATTTCCATTTCAACCTCGATACAGATGGGCTCTTCAGTTAAGTTCCATGATCTCCATTTATTTAGTGTTTGAATCTGTTACACCTTTTGTTTAAATGCTAACTTCTGTGATCCTTTTTAAAGAGCACCTCTAAGGAAAACACGTTTTCTCTGATTTGATCTGTTCACTACATGTATGTTCAGACATGTGTATTATCTGTTCAAATGCCAAACAGTGAATGTAGCCATTGTTTGGCATGCACAAGGGTTTATCCACTACCAACAGAAAGTGAGGGTTTCCGTTATTTGAGTCTGTTTTCTTGGAATGACGCAATCTACGGTACATTCAGAATTTGCATCTTGGCATGAACAGAAAAAGCCCTTTTGAGCTTGTTATAGTTGAGCTCTGAAGACAAATGACACTGCGTTCGATTTGGATACTTCCATATTTATTCGAACAGATAAAATCAGAGAAAACATGTTTTACTTAAAGGTGCTCTATAAATTACCAACACTATTTCTTGTCTGTCCTTGTGTCTACGTGTTTACATAAGTACAAATGAAAGTTACTGGTACAATGTACATGCGTATATGAAGGGTACATGTACATGTATGTCTGGATAGTTCAAGCAGTGCTCAAGTACCGGTAGTTCTGGTGCTGGGTCATGGATCATCCTGTAAATTTGAGGTCAAGAAGTGTGACATTTTTGTGTCAGCATACATTTATGTACACACACACCACGTGTACATCTGACCCGTTGAACCGGGCTATTTCATTTAAATTAACTTCTAACTAGTTTTATTTATTCGGCAGGTAATTTTCATTACTTTATCACTCTCAAAAATTGAAGGATGTGTTCCATACATGTAGGATACTTACAAGATTAGACAGGGACACACAAAAAATTGGACCTTAAATTTATGTCATTGTACGGTTTACATGTAATGTACATGTACATGTATGCACATTTACATGTGCTACATGTAAGCACAGCACATGTACATGTATGCACATTTACATGTGGTACATGTAAGCACAGCACATGTACATGTACATGACTGATTTTGGGAGGAACATGAGGAAGGGAGGAGTGAACATTTTCAAAAATGACTAACTTCCCCCCTCCAGCAGTTTTGTATCATGTGCTATTCACTCCTACAGTTCATACATGGATACTGTATGTGTGGCATCCAGCCTCCCTCCCCTTTCATGACACCAGTGCTGATCCAACAGCCACTAATGAGACACTGGGGTCTTTTGCAAAGCCTCTGGTAGATTGTAAATAAATCTCTCATACATTTATTTTGATCGTTGCGGTCAGTTAGACACCAAAGTCCTCTTACGGTACCTGAAATGATTAACAAGACCAAGAAACAGTCTTTCATTCTGCCTACTTTACTGATTCAATCCCCCTTCCAATTCATTAATCAAATCGTCCCTTTGCCTGTGACAAGATTATTGATATGGTCTGCCTGATTACAATAACCATGGCTTGGTATTGTGCATTTGTGTCGGCTCTTCACTGATCAAAAGTGCAGCGTATCATCTTTCCACCCACACGTTCATAAACCAAAGCAGGGAGAAAGGCACACTACTGCTGAGATATCCAGGCATGTTGGAATTTATGTGAGGAGGAACAACTGCTTAAGAAACAACCCCCCCCACCACTGGTTGGTGATAAGCCTTGTTGGACAATGTGACAAGCATTTATCATTTCACTTCAGTTTCAATTGCCTGTCAAATCGATTCAGCGTTCATATCCACATTACTGATCAGAGCAAGAAATTTAATTAAAGGAAGTACAGTACATGTAAGCTTTGACAGGGATTATTATACTGAAAAAGATCACTGATAAAGAAACACAAACATTCAAGTACAGATATGTAGAGTATGCTTGAATTTGAGTTGCCTGTTTATTTGGTACATGTATAGTAGTGTACATGTACATGGATACAGCATATGTGAGTAATTGTTGGTATGATCCGTATTGCTTAAAGTAGTCATGTGTACATTTAATGGTAGATAGGATGTTTGCTGGCTTTCATGACAGGTACATAATTTTACAAATTATGTTAAGACGAAAATTTGGGAATCATATGAATTCCAAACTGTAATAAAATCAGAATTCAAAAACAGTGTATTTACATGTACATTTGAGTAGGCAGGGTTTTTAAAATTCCTATTTTTAATTTGTTGGTCATTTACATTGTACATGTACATGTAGTGTAGAACCCAACAGCTCCAATAATTTCGATAGCAAATGTCCCCTAACTCATGAAGACTTTGTGTTTTTGCCTTATAATCAGCGTCGTGCATCAAATGGACCTTGACATTTAAACTTGACATTCATGGTGCAACCAGGTACTGGTACAGGTGGGTTTACTTGTCAGCAGACTCATCAGAGACTATGTGAAAAGGCCATGTACTTGCTGTCAAATTAAAAGATCTATAGTAATGACTAGGTCTATCAGATAGGTAGAATTCACTAGGTTGATACATGTAGATCCTATGTTAAGAGAGCTTAATGGTGACTAATGGTGATACTCAGAAGAGGGTTCATCCTTTTTGCTGAATTTGATCAGTGATCGGGGAAATCGTTTTGTGCATTCAAAATCAGAGAAGTGGTCATCCCACTGAGAGGCTAAATACACGCACATAGGTACAATGTATGTTATTGCCAGGTTGTTTAGCCCTAACAGTACCGGGTGTTGTTTGGCTTAGAGTACTCAGTACTACAAAATACTATGTAACACTCTGAGCCTGAAGGACCTAGCGCTACAAATTACTACTTCTGGCTAGGTTTATTCCATTGTTACTTGTACAGAGAACAATGAAACCATGCATTCATAGTGCCACAGCACTGTATGGTACATTGTCTTCTCTATTGTATTTTATGGCTTCAGAGAATAATAATGTCATGTCCTCTTACAAGTGACAGGGCTGAGTACTACATGTTACTACTAAGTAGTACTTTGTAGCATTCGGGAATGGGTTCTTTTGTTTGTGTTTTTGTTTGTTTGGGGTTTTTGTTCAGACAGCTTTTACAAGTGTTCTGGGATATTTTGGTTTTATGCAAAGACTTTTATGATTAATACAAACTGTGATGTTGATGAAAAAAGCCAGGGTTCCAGCACCAACAGGACAGATTTCTTTGATATCAATCTGATTTTACATGCACACCAGGGAGGTAGAGTTAAACTTTATCAAGTGTAATCACTCAAGTCATAATATATTACTTGTAAGAAAAAGTAATACATGTAAGAACAGCCACTGGATTTTATAGAACGTTCATGTAATATTCTGGGACCTGGTACCTTTTCACCCTACAAGAAAAAGGTATCCTTCATAATGTACAACATTGAAGTGCAGACTATGGTATGCATTATGTTACCTTGCAGAAGGCTGACTGTTTACATGTGCATGTGCATTTATGTTTAATGTTGAATGTCTATAGATGGAAATCTATAAACAAGAGACTCAGAGGAGGGCCAGGTGAATCTGTGCCTTCTTGTTGAATTTCCGTCGTCATCTCAAGGACTTGGCACCTGCCTATCTTAAGTGTTGAAGTCCCTAGAAAGTCGGATCAATTACTCCACATGGACACATAATCTGCAGCTTCCGTTGATTAGCATTTGGCGTGCTTTTGCATTGAAATGCTGTCCTGTTCTAGGGGAAGTGCCTGGAGATATTGGCATGCTTGGAAAAAAGCTGTGTCCGAGAGCACTGCATCTAATGAATACTGTACATACGGTAGATCCCTGTGAAACATTGAAATCATATACTGTATTACATGTACACGTACCGGTATGCCATGTGCAAATGATTTTTAAAGTGTGCAGCAGTCTCTTTCTAACGTAAGGTGTAAAAAACTCAGATGCAAAAGTTAACATTGATAACCTGTTCATTTGCTGTCTGTATAGAAATTCAATTTCCACGAATATAGATGGTATTAATGAATAAAATATGCACATTTACATGTACTGTACTTACACCGTAACTTCAACAGACTCTTCACTGGAAGGTTATTTTAACGTTTAAAAACAAAATGAATACTGGTACCTGAGCTGCCAATTTGAAATGAATTATTTGCCAATTCTTTACAAAGTTCCGGCCCAGTAGTGGTACGTGTACCATACTTTTGCTGTTGTTCAAGCGGAACATGACATAAATGTCATGTACTGGGTAAATAGCTGAGCTGATTTATAGCAATATGATAGAAAGGATTTTGTTCATGTTGCAGTTAAAATATCGCTGCATTGTAGTACTTTGAAATTGAAATTCAGTGGAGATCTACATGTATACATGTTCCACGCGTCTTTCATTTGGTTTGGTTTGTTTTGTTTGTTTGATAATTAAAGACAGCACCTGCTGTCAGTTCTGAAAGATGTATCAGCCTGGAGATGAAATGTGTGGCTGAGACTTGACAAATCTCGGCATCTATGTACATGTACATACATGTTGTGTGGCAGTAACGTGTATGTTCTAGTACATGTCCATGTATGTCAAATGGCTCCAATACTTATATTGATAACTGATGAAAGCATAAATGTAACCAGTTGAGCCTACTCATTGGCAATACTGCAGGCTTCAGAAATTAACCATACATGTACCTCAGAGAAACAAGACTTGCTAATTGCTTTGCACACTATCAAAGACATATCAACTGGAAAATGGTATCAACAATTGGATCTATAATCTCATGAATATTCATTTACTGAGTGCCCTTTGCATACTGTAAATAAACACACTGGTAAGTACATGTACTTTTTCTAAATGCTGCACACTTACTTGAGACATTGAATTGATACTAGTTTCATCTAATCTCATTTCTTATCTGTAGGAAATCGCATCTTGGCTGATCAGCTTTGACCACCATGATCAATGGCTTAGTACTTCCACAAAGAACAGGTATAAACAAGTGCACTTTGCTTGCACCTTGTTAGATTGAAATGTTGTGGCATTGTACATGTACATAAATGGCAATACAACTTGAGGATCAATCAATTAAAATCAGATTGTACAAAGATCAAACTGTACAATTAGCCTGTCATGTAACATGGAACTTTCCAGGTGTTTACGTGTAGAAAACTTACACCTTTGGTAATGAAACAGCCCAGATGGCACATAAATCTATCTAATATCAGAGATGCGTCATCAAGAGAGGGAAATGAACATGAACCGGAGTGGAACTTTGTCCTTGCTGTGCACCAGGAGGCCTCATGTTTACAGAAGGCTTTTTCTCTCATCCTTTTTTTTACTGCTTTCTGTTAGCCAAGAGTATAATCCTGGTATTAACAATTCAGAATACCAACTACCTAAGGAAAAACAGATGGACAAACAGGAATTAATCATGAAAGAGCTCCAAGGCGGTGAAGTTAGGAATGCTGCCTACCTGTAATTAATTCAGCAAGACGTCTGCCCGTAGTAATGTACATGTACATCATATACATCAGGCAGCTGGGTATTTTGTGGAGAGGAAAATGATGAGAATGTACATGAATGTTACAAAGACATTGTTATTCAAATTATTTGAGAATGTTTGTGTTCAAGGGGGGAGGATAAACTGACAATATTCAGTGGTGGATAATCACAGTCCAGATGAGGAGTAATTTGCATATGTGCTACCTGCACCTGCACCTGCACCATACATGGCTTGTATGGTATAATGCTCAATGCTTATTAATGCTCATTCTTACTTTAAAATGCTTTAACATTTTGTCTAGTCTTCAAAATGGTTGCCATATGTGTCTGGTATTTTTTTACAAACAGTTGCTGAGATGGTATACATGTACATGTATATACCAATACACATGTAAAAAGTTGAAACCAAATGGAAATTGACAACTCAAGCACAATTCCTGCAAAGTACCTGTACCAGTAAATATACTTTATGAAGCATACAAATTGACTCAAGTGGATGTTGCAGACACTGCATATTGTATGTCATTACTGCTGCTCATCCAATACACAAAGCAATCTAAAATACCATCTCAGCTCCCTGGGGAGATGAAAATATCGCCCAGGGCTGCCAATTCAGTAGCAACAACTTGAAAAAAAAATTGCTCACAAGCGTGAAATGTGACAATGGTTGTGGTACAAAAGCTTTACATGTACATGTATGTATCTCACATTGAAGGTTATTTACGTGAGTGAATTTTGTGTGTCTTGGCAAAATATTGCAGCCTGTGTGATGAACATTCATGCAGATCTATCAGTTTAGTCTTTGTGCAAAATGACAGATTGGCCAGCTGTATTAATTTGTAGCGATGATTGTGATTAACACTGATAGGCCTCAGAGTGGGTCGTTGATTCTCTACAATCGCAAACGAGTCCGGTTTCGGAGGGATGGCTACTTCTGGAAGAAGCGGAAGAATGAACGGACGACACGGGTGGATCACATGAAGCTTAAAATACAAGGAGTTGAGGTCTGTCACTGGAAAATACCTCTCAATTAAGCTTCAATCATGAACGAAAAAATGGTCGATATTTAAATTAAATCACTAAATATCAGGAAGATTGCAGGAAAGGCATTCTACTGTGAGATTTGTTTTCACCAGAGTGCCCACAATATTTACACGGTAATCACAAGTCTCCACCACAATCTCATTGTTAATTCTCCTGTGAACACTTCTCTTTGTCTTACAGTGTATATATGGGAGCTATGTACACTCAGCCCTTATTCCAACATTCCATAGGAGAAGCTACTGGCTGTTACAGGTGAGGATTGTCTGATGTGAACCTTCCTTTGTGGAACTTTCCTCCTTATTGAATGCAAAGAGCTGTAAACTTCCTAACATTATTAGAATTAGGTGTGTACACAGGAGTTGAAATATAATACATGTACAAATATGGCATGCCTACAGAATAATGAAGATGGATTGGCCTAAACTGAAACCAGATATTGAGTTTCAAGCACATGTACGTGCAGAACTTTAGGAAAATGGATGATGAAGCAATGTAAAATTTAATGGCCTATAAATACATATATGTGCGATGATTGGATTAAGACAGCATAAATTTAATATCACTGTTTGCCTGTGTATTGCAGGTTTAGGTTACAATGGTAGCATCACCGTTCTTCCTTAGTAGCAGCTGCTGGAAATTAAAGCAAGAAGGATTTGAATAAAAAAGTTGACATTTTGAGGAAAGATTGTATTTGCTGGTGATAATCTCTAGTTTTCCCCCCTTTTTTCTTGTTATCAGAATCCCGACATAGTTCTTGTCCATTACCTGAATGTCCCCAATCATAGCGAGGAATCCTCCAAGATCAACAATAGTCCTTTAGTCAGTTCAATTTTACCCACCTCCCTTCCTACACCTCAACATCAGCTGGACACCAAGGGGTATAAAGGAACTGTCTGGCAAAGAGAAGAACTTTTACAACAAATCAAACCAATGTGTAAGTGCACTTTTACCTATGTTGTAACATTTTGGGAGTGCTACACGTAGGCCTTAAGACATAGATAGGCCTGCTATTGTCCTGGCCAAAAATATTAAGATGTTAAAGTAAAGTTGTAGAATTGCATGTGGTGCTAATTCCTGAACTATTGTATTGGTATTAGCCGTTGAGCGTATTGATTCTACCAGGGATCAATATTTGCAGTTTATAAACACACATTCATTTCAATTTCAGCGATGATGAGTGTAGCACAGAAACCGTAAAGTCAATTCACCGGTATCCAAGCTACAACCAACAATCCGCTTTCAGATCCTTTCTCCCATTAAGTGCATCTACCAGTGACTGGTAATTGCCATTGCTATAGCAACACAATGCTAATCGGCAGCTAAGCTGCTGTTGCTATGGTTATGACCTTTTCCCAGCAACAACTGAAAATGTCAAATGTGAAGCACCTGTCTTTTACAGATATCCTCCCCCAACTATAGAATATGAACAGTCAACCTTTTGGTGGGCTTTATGAATAATGTGTTCCTTAAGTGCATTTTTGGCATGTGTGTCAACATCGGGTACAGTAGCAATGCTGTTTTTTAGTTTGACGTTGAACATATATAATTATGTACAATGCATGTTGTTTGACAATTGAGTTTAGTTTTTCTGGATTTATTTGTACATGTACATACCGTGATATCAACCAGTGTACTTTCTGTTATTTATTTATTTAGCTTCTAACTTTGTCCACAGTTGTTGTAATGATTTGTTGATATTTCTGGCCAACCGAAAACAGACTAGACAATGGCCTTCGAACTGACAATGATGATATTTTAAATAAAATGGAATTCCTTAGTTGTTTTGACTTTTTGTAGGTTATATACTCATATCTATTAATCAGGATTTAGCAAAATGTCCAGTAGGGTTTATCCTGCAGTAACTTTTATGATGAAAATGTTGAAATGAAAAGTTGTAAAATGGTTGGAATCTTTGAAACTAGATAAACTACAAACAATAGATTCATGTGTACTACTTGAACATTTGCCAAACAATTTTTTGCCTCAACCAAAGTTTCTTGTTCATTATTCAATTTAGTCGCTGGAACACAGGTACAGCTGAATGGGAATAATTTGACATCGGTAAGCCTCTTTGAAAAAACTTCTCTTTTTGTCTCATTTTGATGTATATTTTTACTTTCTCGTTACATCTTTGCTTTGGCAATAAATGACCAATCAATTGTCTTGCTACAGGAGGCTGACGTAGCTAACGTTGTGGTGCAGTACTTGTTAGATTTACAAGACCAGCAGAACCAACATAGAGATCAGCAGACCGTTGTCTTCAGCACATTAACTGAAAAGGCTGGAACAAACACAGGTTAATTCTTAAAGGATGGCTCTGCTCCTATTTTGAATACCAGTCATAAGTGATCATGCATTTTAATGGAAGAAACATTAACATTTGCACCCAAACCAAACGTTGTTTTTTTCTCCCAAGGATGAGGAGGACGCACAGCCTGTAATCTGAGTTTTTTTGCTGCTCACTTTTTCATGTAAACCTCAAATTTAATTTTTAAATCCTTTCACAGGTGCATCTTGCTCCACCCCTAAACCAGCTTCAAGCTCTGCCCCTAGCCCTCAGAGTATTTCCAGTGTCCCACCCTCACCTATGTCAGTCCTCAGTGAAGCCTCTACGATCCAGCCTGTCACAGACTCTCAATCATTTGGACTGAGTGGAGACCAAGCAAGCACGCCAAGTAATGACCAGAGCCAGGCTAGGCCTACTCACCAGTTACAGGATGTCAGTGTGATAGCGCCGTTACCTGTTCTCTTATTCAATGCTTATAATGAGGTTGAAAGCACAGGTGTCGTTGGCAACACAACCTTAGTTGGTTACCAGTTAAATCAGCAAGGTAATGTGAGTGGGGTACCAAGAAGCACAAGTGGTGGGACAGTACAAGGAACCCCTGTAGCATCTGAGGCATCGACACAAACAGGTCAGAATAAAGCTGTTGGTATGCAGAGTGGGCAGGTTGTGCGTGATTTCAACAGTCGACCATTGATCACAAATGAAGAATCGGTAGAGCTGCGAGCAATGGTCGCTAGCAATCCCAGCTTAAAGACTTGTAGGAATCGATTTGAGAACCAACCAGGGATTCATCAGAAGATTGTCTTATTGCCACCTTACCTGCCCTCGCCTGCAAGACCTGAATCAAGTCAGGAAGTATTGGCTACCAGTCAACCTCAGAGCATACCAGCAAGTGAACCTAGTCGATTACCTTCCTATGATGCTCATCTACAGAGACAAAGATCCACTGAGATTTCCATCTCTGCACAGGGTTCAGTCAATGAGGAATCTGCCTCAGTAACCGTCACCTCCACTGACGCTAATGCCCAACAAGTCACACATTCGAGAAGTTTATTCCAACCTTTAAACCCACAGAATCAGTTCCCATCTTTCCAACAAAGTTTACAGGCAAACATCCCCCCACCACCGCTGTTGCCCCCTCCCCCTCCATACACCCTGGCAGCTGATGCTGTAATTGCCAACACAGTTTTCACATTCTCTGCAACACCTACCACGCATCCACTTCAGCAGTCAGTAACTTCAGACATAAAACAGCCATCTGCAGCACCATCTTCAGTGATGCAGACTGCAGGCTTAGTGCATCCTGCTGCTGTTTCCTTACCTGCAGTGTCAGGAATGTTCAGTGCTCAGGCCCTTTTAAAACCAGTAGAGTTTCCATCAAGCAAAAATGGAACTGTTACGAAATCAGTCACCTCTGGTTCTTCTGATAAAGAGAAGACTTTAGTGTTCAAACCTTTGACACAACCTGAAAATCCAGTCATTCCAGTCAGCATTCAGGGCAATTCACGATCCATCACAGTGACACATGAGTCACCCTCACAGATGTCATTTCATCCACCAAGTCACCAGGACACCAGAGCAGCTATGCCAACTGGCAGTGATTTCTGCATCAGTGATCTGGACATTGAACTTGATTTTGATGCTGAGATGTTTGACAGTGCCCTGGCTGACATTAATCTGGATAGTTCATTGCAAGGTGGGTTCAGCTACAGAAGTACGGTAGTATATAAAGACTATTGCGGCCTCAAGGTGTGATACTTGGGTCTCTAATCTAAGGATCTTTTGAAAGATTTACCGGATCGAGGAAGGCGAAGCAAGGCTACAGCTAATAACAAGGATTTTCCTGTCTCTAAGATGAGGTGCAAAGAACTTGGCATTGATTTACTGGACATTGGTGAAGTTTCAGGATACTTGAAGATTTCTAGCCGTAAAAACGGAGCTCCAATTACCCATGGAAGCATACACAGTACCCCTGTCTTAAACCTTTTTACTAATGAAATTTTATGAAGTAGGAAATATTCTTAGTGTTTTCCTGATTTCTCTATTTCTGTTTACTTTTCTAGGCACTACTCCTGTTCCGGATGCCACACACCAGCTGTCAGATTCAAACAGACTGACCGGTCAGCAAGTGACCAGTGGAAGCAGTGTTCACTCAGAGGGATTACTATCATTACAGCAAGGAACATCTTTACCTGAGCAATGTCTAGAAGCAATTACTGAATTTTCTCCTGATTGGTCTTATCCGGAGGTAAGTCACTCATCTCATTTTTCTTTAAAGAGCTTGTATCATTGTTGATAAAGTTATACATACATGTTGTCACCTGATAACAGTTACTTAAAAGACAAGGCACGCAGTCTTAAACATTTCTTAAGTATTTTAAGTGGTTTACAAGATTGTTATATGTGTGTTGGGTGAGAGAGCTACATGTAGGAATACTTGAAAATTTAAACAATAAAGGTTAAGTTAAACTTGACATTTTTTGATGAAAAAATTAAAGACTTTGACAGACCAGACTTTGTGCCCATTTTTCTACACAGGGTGGTGTAAAGATTCTCGTAACAGGCCCATGGCATTCCACTTCTGCAAACTATCAATGCATGTTTGATAACTACAGTGTACCAGCATCACTGGTACAGACTGGAGTACTTCGCTGCTACTGCCCTGCTCATGAAGCTGGGGTCATCGCTCTACAGGTAGGTACTAGTCAAACAGATAGTCAGACTAACAAACAGGAGTACTTCGCTGCTACTGCCCTGCTCATGATACTTGGGTCATAACTCTACAGGTAGGTACTAAATAGACAGACTAACAAACATGAGTACTTAGCTGCTACTGCCCTGCTTGTGAAACTTGAGTCATAACTCTTCAGGTAGGTAATAAACAGTCCGACTTATAAATGGGAGTTGTTGTTTCAGGCATTGTTTAAGTATCTAACTGAGTTGTTTTCTTGCTGTTACTAAGGTATTATGTGATGGAGTTGTCATCTCCAAATCAGCTATCTTTGAGTACAAAGCTCGCAGTGCTCAACAACGACCCAATAGACAACATGAGTGGTTGTCACTTGAAGGTAAGTCCATATGTTCTAATTCTCATACTGTCCTAGCTGAAATTATAAACAATAACATTACTGAAGTTCTTATTGCTAAATGCACTTTCCTCGTTTTTGACCGACAGAGAATCAGTTCCACGTGGCCATCTTGGATCGATTGGAGCACATGGAGAGACGAGTTGTCTTAAACAAATCACAGAGTTCCAAACAGGTAATATTAACCTCTTGCATTTTGATACAATCACTCTGTAAGAGGATCATTGTTTTCTGGTTGTCTGTGCTTGTAGAAACAACTCTTACCTAACACTGGAATTTGTAAACTGAATTCACTTTTGAAATACTCAATCCTTAAATTTGAATTTTATTGGCCTATCTTTTTTGTAGTCTCACACAGTTGTGTCTTATGGCCAGTATCCACTTTGTGCAGAAGCACCCCCTCATTGGTTCAAAGCAGCCATGCTGGTGGGGAATGTTCATTTTGTTCGTAGTTACACGACCGTTACACATGCATTTCAAAGTGGCCTGTGAACCAGCAAAGTGCAGTTCCCACCATTGCGGAAACTGAGTTGGAATGATTCAGCTAACGTTTCACAAAGGCTTGATCCTCTTTTCTCTGATCCCTGCATGACTGACTTGGAGTACTATAGACAAAGTTACAAAGCTCATAAAAATTCAATGATTCAGAAGAATAAGATGTTCTAAATTGAAGACTTCACTTTGTTTGCAGGGATCGTCCAGTGGACCGAGTGACCAGCAGCTATCCTTTGAAGACCGTGTGGTGGCACTCTGTCAGCAGTTCATGCGTGGCCAGTGGGCACCAGGAAGCTCTTCCCAACTAGGGGCGGAGTCAGGCTCACATAGAGGGATGACATTACTTCATCTGGCCGCTGCACTTGGATATACAAAGCTGATAAGCACTCTTGTCACGTGGAGGTATCTAAAGAGATTATTAATTTTTGTTGCTATGGCAATAACCTGAGGGCCCTTGGAAGTATGCTGATCACTGCTCTTCAAAAGCTTTAGATCCATAGAAGAAAGTGAAAAAAAAATGGCATCGAGGATGATCTGCGGGAGGGTCAGTGGGAGGAAATGTTTGGTCAGGGGAGAACATTATTCAGCAGTGTCAGCTTAGCAGATGGAACTCAACAAACTTTACCCCTTAGTTGATTTTATTAATGTTGCTGTCTTTGCTTCTTTAGTTTCGTTGTTTCTTGAAAACTTTCAGTTCCTTTTGCAAAGTTGGAAGTGTTACATAATTAATTAGATAAAGAGCAAATTTGTGTACCTTGTTTCCTTACTTTTCAGAAATGAACAGCACAGCCTGGTGTTGGAGATGGAAGTTGATCCAATGAACATTGATCATTTCTCCTGCACCCCTCTGGTGAGGAAAACCTAGTTTTGTCTTAACCTATCACCTTTGTTATGATATTTTCCATCATAAAATGTGATGTCAGTTCCTGTTTAAGTTGAAGTATTGATATTGTCGTTGTAGATGTGGGCGGCAGCTTTGGGCCATAAAGAAACAGCTATGTTGCTTTATGTCTGGAGTCCCCAAGCTCTTCACGTCTGTGACTCCATGGGTCGTCTCCCAATTGATATGGCAAAGAGTCGAGGTCACACTGCTCTTGCTGAATGCTTGCAACACTTAGAGTTTGATGGCCCAAGTTTATTCCCAACATTCAGCACTCCACCTATAACAATACCTCAGCAGAAACCAACTGACAGGGTACCAGCTTTCATGTTATCTTCCCCATCAACTGCGACACCTTGTTCATCAAATACGCCTCGTTCACCGTTGGAGCTGGCTTCTCCTTATGACTCCCCATCTCCATCATCTGGTTGTATGTCTCAACTCTCTGTTAGTCCAGTCTCTCAAGGATTCCTGAGTCCAATCTCCTTCAAGTCTCACAGTCCTCGTGTCTCAGTTACTGGCCAACCAGCTTTTGGCCAGAGCCTGAAACCAAATAGCGCCCTCTACAGTGGTCTAGGAGATGCGATGGATGTGGACACGGTACCTGAGAAGACACGGAGGTCATCCCGAGGTCATGAATCTAGGGGCCCTCATCTACTTGATGTGCAGCAGCTGTTACGGGGCATTGAGAATATTCAAAGAGTGAGTCACTTGGAATGTTTGATGAACTGTCGTTATTTGAGAACCTTATTGTGCTTAATATTGATATTGGTTTTTACTCACTTTACTCAAAGAAACAAACTCACTGTTTTTTGCAAATTTACTTTAACCGTTGGCTTTTAATGTGTTTATTTATAGCATGATGATGTTAGTCGACTCTCTGAACAAGAACGTGAAGACTTAAAACGACATGCTGAACAGCTTAGGAAACTAGGAGCAGAGATGGGTCTAGGCATAGACCATATCCAAGTGCAAACTGCAGGTCTGACCCCAGGAGAGTTGCTTAGCAACAACCAAGGACAGATCCATCGACAAATCTCTGGAAGCACCCCAGTGCACAACCCAGGACACACATTCCAATCAAACAATGGTATTGGGCAAAACCAATCCCATAACCTAGCCCAGACCCACGGGCTGATAGATAACCGATGTGATTCCCCTATGCAGACAGACACGTTGATACATGAAGGTGGGGAAGCGGCAGGACCATCTGCACCATTCAGTTGGATAACCGAACCAAATCAGAAGGTAGGTGTTGTGAATAACAAACAGCAAGAAGAATTGTACATTTCCTTGGCACAGATTTGACATTTCATAATTTACTCATTTGAACTGAGAATTCAGAGTGGAATTCAGTTTTAATTTGTCAGTTGCTTTTGACATTTTAGTGTGGTCAGTGTTGAATACGTCCAAACTTGGTTTTTGAAAACTCAATATTTTAGGAAACTGGTAATTACTAGACACTGAATGTTGTATTTTTTGCTTTAGGAGCAGTACTTGAACCTAGCTGAACAGATCTTGAATGCCTTACCAGCTCGCATCAAGGATAGTATGAAATTCCCACAAGCAAGAGATCAGCATGATGACTGCGGTCTTTTAGTGCCCTCTGTTGGTGTTTCGGGGTCAGGTCATGGAATGGATACATTTGGAGATCAAGAGTCACACAGGTAGACACCTTCATCACGATGCTGCTATGTTTCACTGTGTACTCTGCCAATAGTAATACAATTTCACATTGGATAAAAGGGAAAAGACTTTCTCTTTCCAGCTTCAGTTTGGTAACATTGCTTTGAATAGTAGACTAGCAAGATGGCTGCCCCATTATAGATGTTTGTAGAAAAGATTGATTTGAGTGTTTCCATCTCAAGCCAGGCTAGCTGGCTGGTTGGTTGTATAACAGTACTTCCTGGGTATCTAGCTATGTAACCTCGTCTCTTGGTTTACGTAGGTCCATTCATGAGGAAAGTTCAGCTGGAAGTACATACAGTGCTGATTCCTGTCTGCCTAGTCCTAGTAACCTCAGCTTTGAGGAGGAGAGTTCTACAGCAGATTGGTGCGAGTTCCTTCAAGGAGCCAGTAACAGCCTTGGGGTAGTTGGAGCATTCTCTCTCCTTACACTCTCAGGTAAGTCTTTCAGTTTATTTAGGTTGATTCCTTTTTTAAAAAATGAGTCATCAGATTTTCTCTGTTTTTCATTTTTCTGAATTGTCATCGTGAAGACTGCAGAATTATACTGCAGTGCACATCAATACTTTGCTCTGGCATTTAAAAAAATCTACAGTATTGTCTGAAAGCCTTTGCAATTTATATCTAAATAATAATGATGTTATTTCAAATTTATTTGAAAGGCAAGCCTATCTCAAATTCATTAACCCTGACTGTGCCAGATTCTTCAAATCCACAGGGAGATTTTGGATTTGAAGGATGTAGGTGGATATATGGAGGTACAGTCAAGCTGCTGTTAATGAGTATATATTGATTTCCTTGGGGGATTTTGGAGGTTTCAAGAAGAACATGTACTCAGATCTATTTTTTTTTCATTTCTTCAGATGAGGAGCAGATGCAACTGTACCAAGCAGCATTAGTCATCCAAAATGCATTCAGACAATACAAGGTACCTCTGTCGAGCTATTACACTTGTTATAACAGGTTGATTGATCCTAACCCCCTAGGGCCCATTGAAATCATGCATATGCTTAGTGGATTCAAAATTCCTACGGTTAAAGGATGGTACCCTATTCATAAATGAAAGAAATATTCACAAATAAATAGTCATAATAAATACAAAATGAATCTTAATGTTGAATTTATTGTTCGTGTTGTAGGGTCGTCAACAGCAGAAGCAGCAGGAATTGGAAGCGGCGGTTATCATTCAGAATTACTACAGGAGATACAAACAGGTAGGATGTACTGGTAGTTGGTTAGCCTGTCTGTCTCTCTGTTTTCCTTCTTACTTCTTGATTCTATCAACATGGGTATTGAGCTAACTTTGCTCTTCACACACAACAATTTTTCAAGGATGACTTGCATACTTTCATTTTTCAGTACATAATGTACAGTAAGATGTCAGAGGCAGCAAAGGTCATTCAGAGTCGTTTCCGTAGTTACAACCATTACCGTCAGTTTCAGCGTAGTCGGCGTGCGGCCATTGTCATTCAGAGCCATTACCGTGGTTACAGGGCACAGGAGCAGTTTCGTAAGAGCCGGGATGCGGCCATCCTGATTCAGCAAAGATTCAGGTGAGTTGTGCGACAAACAGGAACCAAAGTGAGTGAAATTTTACCTCTTTGTTTCCAGAATTTCTTATTGTTCAACAACCAGGGGATAAGTTTCCTTGCCTTAGTGGCTAATTCCAGGAGTCATCATATGTCTTTACTTTATGCAGATGAACTACTAAGTGTTATTCTTGGTGATATGTTTGTAGGGATAAACGATTGGCTCGTCAGAAGCTACAGCAAGATGCTGCACGTAAGATTCAACGCTTCATTCGAAGATGTCAGAACAGGTGAGTCAAAGATTGCAATGTCAGATCCCATCTCAAGCTCAGTGTGGATTCAACTTTCAACTAAATCCCTTATCTGAACCCTTTGCATGGATCCTGGGTTGCTCACATTTAGAGAGAAGCTTTTTCAAAGTTTGATTTGAAAACTTAACTGATTGTATTGATTGGCTAAGCTAGTGGTTGATTGCCTGGAAAGATGGTGCCACTCACTTTCTGCTTTGTGTGGATCTTTCCTTTTCTTTTTAATTTTCTTCACGAGTCATCTTATGTAATTGGTTTTTTACAATACATCAAGGTGTGATTTGTGCAAAGGAATTTTGAAAAACTTCTGGAAGTATTAAATACCAGACAAACAATTCTTTTTACCATCTGCTTGCCAACATACCAGTTATTCTTACAAAATGTAAAACTAACCATGCGATTAACATGACATTCTCTAACTGAAGTTGCAAGTATCCTATCTGATCCCATCAATATAATAGTACCCCTACTAACAGTGTGAATTCTAACATTTAACCAATCACATGAAGGCATTTCTGGAATGTTCCATCTGGGTAAGTATGTAGGGGGTGATCTATACATTGTTTATGGTAGTTGAGTTTATTCCTGTGTAGTAATTCAAGAGTTTGTGTATCACTTGTGCATTGACATGTATGGTGTGTTAGTGAAATATTTGTGTTAGATGGCTTGCTTATACTTGCACAAGCAGATATATGTCTATGTAAAGAATTAAAGAACTAAATCAGATGTCGTGGTGCTTATCATGCAAAGAGGCTCGTTACATCATAAAAGACTAGTTAAGTCATGAGAGGCTTGTTAATCTTGTGCAATCCATCACTTGAGGTCATGGCCAAAGATTGTATAGCACCACGCAGCGGCGCAAGATGGCGAACTTGGCCAAAATGGTGTTATCTCCATGGACGCCATTCGAGTGTGAATGTTAATGCATAGGCACAGGCATACCAGTGTGCGTGCCTTTTGTGGTGTTACAGCGACTGCACCTGTTTCGTTAACGTAGCGTTCATGTATTCACACCCAAATGGCGCCCATGTGATAACAGCGTTTAATGTGCATTCATGGTGAAGTTACACATTTTGTGCCGCTGCATGGCGCTATACATTCTTTGGTTGTGGCTGTGATTGGCACTGTCAAATGTCATTGGCTACCACCCAAAGTAACTCACAAAAATGAAATACCAGTGTGAATTTTGGGCCACAGTGTCTCCATCTGTGATACGGATGTTGCACTGAGCTTTAAGGAACACATTGCATGCTTTATAACAGTTGGCATATTGTTCATGTCATCTTTCCCCCTTCTCCTGGTCAGGCACCCTAAGTACCTGCCTTCTGTCCTTCTACACTGTTCAGTCCTCCTTGTGTCCTACTTGGTCTGATTTCCCCATTCTAAACCTCACTTAAGGTTTGCCTCAGCCCTTGCTGGTGTTGCTCAAGTCTCTTTAAATGCTCTCATGCTGCAATGGAATTGTCAGTTTTGTACAGGCTACATTTCTTGCATTGAAAGAGAGAAAGCAAATTGATAAAAGAAAACAGAGCATTGCAGTTTTAATCTTGAAATCCTAAGCTTTAAAAATCAGCATGTCATGCTTGTACATGTACATGTAAATGCATGAACTTTATTACGTAACTCATAGAAGTAAAGAACCTAATTAACGTGCTACATTTTAATCATTCGCAGACTTCGTTCCTTGCGTCAGACCCGTGCGGATGTCAAACGCTTCTGCAAGAAAGACTGACGCTAGAAGACTGTCATATGACTGCTCATGTGGTACCATGTGATAGGTCATGTGACAGTGGAGCTGACAGACTTATATCCCGGCTGAGTTCAGCATCACCTTGATCAGGTATTTTATCTCAGCTTGAGAAATTTTAAATCTGTTGAGTTGGAAAGTTCAAATTGAATTCCTTAGCGATAGGTAAGTTTGTATTTAAGGAAATGATATCAGGTACAGAGAGTTGTGGCAATCCATTGTATTTGGGCACTAAATGGGTTCCAATTCAAATTGCAGTTTGCAGTCTTTTCAAATATAAACTTGTCCATGTTCAGCCATTAAGTGCCCAAATATTCTGGAATCTTAATTACCATGTTAACATAGTTGACAGCCACACTGATGACAACCCTTTATTGCCTGGTGTACTATTGTCAACGAGGGTGCTAACGTGGGTAACCTTGACCAGGTTGGTTTGGTTTTTGGAGAGTTCATGTATTCATGATAAATAACATTGTAAACCTTTTCAAAGTTGTTATCAAAGTTTGTAGTATACAAAAAGCCTTAAGTGTAGAATATCTGTACATAGTATATTTATATTACTCCAGATCTTTCATAAAGCCGATGTAAATGGTTTGTTTATTATTGACAAATAGCTGATTATTTGCTAGCCATTAGTTATTCACTGAATGCTAACGAAGTGAACGCTTTGGTTGCTTTGTAATATTAAGGTTTTATTGAATGATTGACGGGTTATTTATCAATGTATTTTAAATGCATTGGTAATTAATGAACATTTGATCGGCCATCAGCTTATTTTTTGTTGAAATAATTGATTGATAAATTTATTAAATTGTCCAAATGATGAATAAGCTTCTTAATTGAAACTGAATGTTGCTCTACTCATTTTGGACTACATGTCTTTGTGCTCTAGCAGTTATAGCTTTTCACATGTAGTGATGTGTTGTGTCTTGTACATGTACCGGTATGTGTCAGGTTCGATTTCCATGAGTATTTTGTGTGTGAAGCAGGTTAACAGAAAAACCAAACGAATAACATTCTGATTACACTGATTCTGAGAAGTATGTTAATGAGGGACATACATGTACATGTAGCTTTCATTCATTAAGACTTTCTATGTGTGGCAAAGACATTGGTTATTTGGCACAGTACAACCAGTGACAAAAATCGTTCATAAATTTGACTTGACTTGCCACCGGTTAGGATTGAATGTGGGCAAAGCAGGTAACTATTGTGTATCAGACTTAAGGGGAACAGCTAGGATATGATGTATGGATTCACCTGCACTAAACTCTGAAATTAGCAGAGAACAACATGAAGGTGCATGTAGCGACTTCTGTTACAATTTTTGTTGAGGTACAGAGATTGATGCTGTGTGATGTCAGTGGCTCATGTCATATTTGAGCTGACGCTGGGAGGTTCCTGGTTGATGTAGGGATGAAGGATTTAGTGTGAGCAGAAGATAGTGACTTGAATGCCTTGAAGCAGATTCCAAGGAGTATGTTTCAGTTGGAATTTCTGGATTTCTATATTTTTCATATTTTAGGGCATTTCTGTAAGTTCTGGATTGTTTTTCTATTGATCGAAGGTCATAAATATCAATCAATCAATCATGTTTTCCCATCAGTTTGGTTTTATTTAGTACACTCACAGACAAGAGAACAGGGGGGGGAACACAAAAATACAAAACAGGACAATTCAAGTGAAGATAAAGCAAAACTGACAATTTGTAGCCCGAAACCCCCAAAAATGCAAAAGAGTTTTCTGCTGCACATTTAATATGTGTGACTGTTGGTATCCAACAACACAATCAACCTCAACTACATGTACATCAATCCCATCATTGATGAACATCCATTGGATGGGTCATCTTGTCAGATGTCTTGTGTTATAAATACTTGAGTCAGTAGGCAGTTGTTGTACATTGGAATACGATTTGAAATACATTATCAGCTATCCGAAATCATTAATGTTTATTAAGAAAAGTAACAATAGATCTGAAATTCCATCAAATCTTGTAATTTAGCGTTTATGATATTCAAATACTTTAGAGAATTTGCTGCAATTTACACTAGACGTGTAGCATTAGCCTAGGAGTTACAGTAGCTCATGGTTTCTTATACTGGGAATGTTTTATGGAGGAAACTTGCCAAAAAGTTGGCGCCAGTTCTACCAGATCTCACTCCAAAACCACACAATCTGTTGGTTCAAAGACATCCAAATTTGTTTGTAAATACTGGTATATCCATTGAACCAAACCAGTAATTCATTTTTCCTGGTCAAGTTTCTCTCTATGGTGCAACAAAAACATCTTTTAACAAAGGTAGAGATTTATCGGAAAGTTAGTTTCCTATTCTCTTCAAGTTTGGAAGTTGTATTTTTACTTGTAGGGGTATTCCAACCTGTAGCATATCTGAGGAATTTGTATTTGTAAGGACTCAAACCGGTAGTAATTTTTTTTTTAATTGATAAAACATGTGATTGAAGCTCGAGCATTGCAAACTTTGTACTTTTTTTACGTGGCAAAGCGCACAAACATTCATGTTTATATCAATGATTTTGTCATTTTGATATTTCTTTTTCAGGAGGCAAAGATCATTCTGTTTCTATTGTGGAATAATATTGGAAGTTTGTTTCAATTATGTGTTGAAATAAATATAATTGCCTTATTGTCAAACCTGATATGTACATGTACTGCAACAAATTTGATTACAAATACTGCTGGAGAGAAAAAAAGGAATAGCACTTTGTTTTGGCGCCAAACTATGATGCAGTCTTGGATTTTGTTGCAGTTTCTGGTTTTAAGGTCTGAATGATATTTACACCTTACTCTTTGTATTCTGATTCATTAACCCTAACAGTCCTCAGTCCTCCAACAGGTGAAGGATTGAGGAGGGTTAGGGTTAACCCTAACAGTCCTCAGTCCTCCAACAGGTGAAGGATTGAGGAATGTTAGGGTTAACATCTAATGTAATGACTTGCATACAATTTGAGCTTTCAATAGACAATGTAATTCGATTGTGCTTTGATTTGATTTGTTTGATTTCATTTGGTTCTGTTTAAGTTGGTTTTAAGAATATGTGTGCAATAATGTTGAGATTTGATTGGCTGTTAGCAAATGTCCCATGGTGATTGGTGTAAGATATGAAAGGTTCCAAGTACAGAGATCATTGCCTTAGGTATTATCATAAGAGGGCACTGTTTGAATGTTTTAACCTCATAGCCCACTATATGTCTGATGTCCAACATGTACATTACGTTTAGTGAAATCTGTGGGGAAGGAAATCGTCCTCTCAGGATTTCGCTGGTTAAATCACAGATTGACAATGGTGGTTGGATTGCAATCACTTGGATTCTCTTCACAGGACAACTCTTTCTTTGGACAACCTTAGTGGTCATTTTTGAAGGAGAGTGGACATAGCTAGCACATGGTCACCAGGTTATAATTTACTGAAGGAATAAATATGTGCTTGGCCCATCTTAAATGTGTGATTAAAGATCGAGTACACATGCAGATTTGTTATATAGCATACAGGTGATACTGAAGCTTGTTTGATGTAGGATACTGGTCAGGATCTAATTCTTCATCCTTTATCGAAAACTTTATCCATGGCTATTTGTGAAGATGTTTGAAAATTGCGCCCTCTTGTGGTAAAAAAGTGAAATACATTACACAATTGGGTGATAGACAGTAGTTACTGGGCTAATGCTTAAGACATGTTGAAGATGTGAGCTGAGGTAGACAGTCTCATCATGATGAGATGTACATGTATTCATGTGTTGTAAATACTGATAAGGAGTCTTTTTTTAAAACTGTACATTTGAAATTGTTCAGTGTGACATTTCAGTTAAGGCAAGTTAATGTATTTATTAGGATGCTTGCTTTTTTAATCAACATACATGACTTATTGCTTGAGTTTGGTTACGAAAGGTAACTTTTTTTCGTACAAAAGTTCCCATGGATTTGTTGCAATTTGATTTCACAAATCTACCCAAAAAAAAAGAGTTCCTGTGTGGAATTACTATGAATTATTCTGAATAATTATGTTTCCTCTGGATGTATTTTGAATCAACCTAGCAAATTTGTGATTAGTGTAAATACAAAACATTAAAACAAAATTTAATCTAATATTGTCACAGGGTTGTAAGGTCTTAACCAAGCTCTCATGCTCGAGCAGTTCCTTATGAAAGTGGAAAAATATGTTAAACATTCGTAATGATGTTTATCATTGAGGCAATTTATGCAAACCATCATTGCTTTTCATCAAATCAAAAGGTTTCCTGGTTCATGTGTACCGGTACGTGTTCAACTCTGTCTGAACAAATGTCTTTAACCCTAACACTCCTCAGTCCTCCAACAGGTGAAGGATTTAGGAGGGTTAGGGTTAATATATACATTGTCGTTCACTCCAAGTTTCATGTGCATCTGTAACTTCAAAGTGAGCATAGCTATCGTTTGCTTCAGACTGATACACACGGTTGTTGGAACAACCTGTAATTTCCAGAATCATTTACAGTTTGCAGAATTATTTTGTGATATTTTCAGCCAAGGAATATGCCCGTTTACAGCAGTGAATCCGAAAAAATCTTTTGCATAAAGTTTCACGAAGGTAAATCAGAAATTTGCTTGGCTTGAAAATTTGAGCCTGCTAAAATGCTCTTGGTTATATGTGACAAAATTGCCATGTAACAATACAGCCATTTCGATTCTATTTGCATATGAAATAAATGTTACTTAAGAAAATGTAAACAAAATTTGTTCATAATTGTTTTCTTAAATGTTCAAAAGTTTTCATTTAAAAGTTGAAATCAGTCTTGATACTGCTAGTGCCCTTTTCTCCTCATATTTACTTTGCCCAAATCTCAGCCATTTTCCTTTTCCTGATTTTTATTTAGTGTCATGGTTCTTGAAAGGATCTACCAGTACATATCTAACTCATCACCTTCCATGTGTTTACTGCAAAATCCCAACCCCATGCCACCCCCAAAACATAGTCCTGCAAGTTCCTAGAAGTAGCAGCTCCTTGTCAAGGCCTTGTGTCTTTTATCCTCCTGAATGCCAAAGTATCTCTTGCTGTTAAGTTGAGCATTGCCTCTTGCAACATTAAGAATCAATCTTTGAGCTCCATGGTATCCGGTCTAGCATTCTACAAGTTCCACCTATTAGCTTTCTTTTTGATAGTCCCAAGCCCTCAACTCATGACCTCTAAAACCCTGGCTTCAGACCTTCCAATATTAAGAGACTGCAAGCCTTACCCCTTGCCATCTAGAAATTCAGTTTTGGTCTGAAAAATATTCTAAGTCCAAACAATGGAAGGTTTAACATTTAGAAACGAGCACATTTTTTTAAGAAAGTGCCGTGGCATAGTGGTTAGGGACCCTAACTGCTATGCACAAGGACCTGGGTTCAAATCCAGGTGGGCATGCACAATTTTGCTAAAAAACTTAGATAAAAAAAAAAAAAAAAAAAAAAAAACCTCCTTTTCCGGGGACCCCAGGTTTTGAACCAGGGTCCCCTCGGCCTGGCAGCCAGCTCGCTAACCACCAGGCCACAGGCCTCTTGACAGATTTCATTTCGGAACTTATATTTAAAGGTTAGATTGCGCAATTTGACAAAAATGCACAGGTCAGGGGGCATACAACTATTTGAATAACAAAAGGAGAAAATTTGAATATGCAAACAACAGAGAACAATCACGAGTAAAAATGGAGATTTTATCAAAATATACGGACTTGACATGCACTCTGGTTAATAACTAATTTAGATTTTGTTTACGATTTTTTTTTTTTCACCAGTTAATTCTGTAAAATGCAAAATCCTGTTCACACTTGCAAAGTTTATACTGCCATAACCTACATGGACCAAATACATGAATAAAACCAAATACTATATGCCACTAACCCTCTCTGTTAACTAAAATAAAGATAATTAAATAATTTATCAGGTACCTCTCCTTTTAAATCCTTTCAAAGGGTAAAAAAATGACCCAGAGATCTAAATGTACTTTACAAATGGCCAAATTGTTGCGTTGATGTATTTCAGTGGCATATGCCATCAGTGTACAGATTATAGACAATGTAGATCATTTGTGACAGGGACCAATGACATATAGAACTGTAATATAGAACTATGAATTACGAGATGTTCATGACAGCCAAAGGTTTTTTTTTAGTCATGATGAAAGACAAAAATATGGCACTGCCCAACCACATCTACATCAATTACATAAAATCTAAGTATTTGTTTATACCAGTCTGTCAAGAAATCCACTCTTATGTAAATTTATGCTGCAATGATAAAATATAAGACTTAGGCCTAATTGTTCCTTGCAACAACAGTCCACATAAACCTTGAAGGTCATTCTACCAACGATATCATGCAGCTGCATCCTTCACAGCCGCATCCTTCACAGCCGCATTCTTCAACTGAATGTACCTACAAATAATGGTTTAATCAAGTTTTCCACTTCTGTTTTTTCATATTTGAATGTGTAAGAACTGATCGAAAACTTTAAAACAAGCTCAATCCTAAAAGTGGAGGGAATTACAATTTATTGGAAGCCACAAACTGAACAGGACAGGGACTTCCAGGAAATTACTACCGTTCCTCCGACTATTTGATCAAGTCTGGCCAAATGGGTGTAGATAAATGTATACTGTAACTAGACATGAACATGTATTAGGAAGTCAGCTTTTGGACTTGCTAAATCAGTTGTTTAGAATTGTATCTGAGATACATGAGATCTGTAGAAGTAAGCCCTTAGCCATTTTAAAGGGAATCACGATGACCACTTAATTTGAAAGGAAAACTTGCAGCATTTGAGGAAAAAACTTGGTATGGGATGCTGAAAGTTCAAGGGAAAAAAGCGAAGCCCTAAACTGAGAAGCTTTAAAATTCATTTTTGTTCTTGAACTGAAGGAAGAGTACTACAGGTGTTCCTCATTGCAGATAATGGTTACACATACATGTATAATACTTAGTGCAGTTATGATTAGTTTTAAAATATTTCGCAATTACATCTGCGAGTATAAACCTTTTTTTCAGCATGCTGTTTGCTGTCTGTCTGCATATAATATACAGCATTAGTTGTTAGAAACCAGTAAATTTGAATATCGCAAAATATCATACAATATATTTAAATATGATGGTGGTCAAAACGGCACCATGCTTTATCAGAAATGTACACTTACAGGTCATTATGGATATTTTTCACACTGCTCAAATCCTGTGGATTTTACCATGCACAGTCATACTTTCATCGTAGAGCTCTTCTTAGTGAGCAAAACGGAATTCTTTTGGACTCTTTTAAAATGCATTTAAAGCTTACAGCAAGTATTTCATAGCTCAAATACCGCCAAGGTTGTTAAAAAAACAAAGGGTCAAAAATGGAACCAAAAGTGAAACCAAAACTGAAGGAAAAATGTATGCTGACCATTTTAGGCTGATTCTTTGAAAGGCCTAAGGCCCATGTTTGTCCGTTTGATTCAGCACCAGACGAGTAGCTATGAAAATCAAAGCTTACGAATAATTAAAAATTTCCTAAAATCAACAGAAAACCTGGCATAAAATGATAAAAAGTCTATTTTTGGACTTGGTTCATTCATCTGTCATAAGGCACACTTTTTCGAAGGAAATATGTATAAAATAATGATAAATTCCTTAGGTACAAAGCATATTTGCAAAAATGAGTCTAAAAAGTTGATCAAGTGAAGTTCCTCTCTTCTAGGTGGCTGCTGATGTTTTTATGAGAACCATAGTGATAATCACAGGATGTAGTTGCTATGGCAATAATAATGAACATTTAGACCTCCATCCTATGATACCTCTATTTGTTGACAGGTTTGTGTGTTTGGCAGAGGTGACATCCATCTTCAAATATACAGAGCTCTGCCTGCTGTAGTGATAACCACAGGATGTGGTTGCTATGACAACCTCTACACCTCCATACTAGGATACCTCCATTCAGTGATAGGTTTGTGTGTCTGTTTGACTGATTGAGGTGACACCCATCTTTGAATGTACAGAGCTCCACCTGCCTTGTCATTGGTTCCTTTCAAAGAATGAAAAAGCGCAAGTTAACAAGTGCCAAAAATTACAATTTCACAAACAAATCCCTCTGTGCTTCTGTTTCCAAAACTGAATAATTTAATGATTTCCATTTTTTGATTTACAAGCTCAATTATAAACAAAAGTTTTTATTGATTGCTTTGGTTCTGTCCATTTAATTGACACTCCAGTTTTACCAATAACTAACGTGGGGTTAAAGGAGTCAGAGTGTACAATACTTGATTCAGTTATCACAACAACAATTCAACATGGACTTGACATCACCATTCATAATTGTCCAGTTCCTCCATCCCCTAGGCTAGCGTCTTACAACACATCACAGTTCTTTACCTGATAATCTTCCTCCACCAAATGGCTGCTGGCCAACCACAGATCCAGTGGACTTGTCGTTGATGTAGAAGTTACCGGCAGAGTCTCTCAGTAAATTGGCAGTTGTCTCAGTCACTTCACTGCACGATAACACACAAACAATATCATTCAGAAAATAAATGGAAATAAAGGAGATGCGGTGAAGATTATGTACTTGATTTGTGCAAGAAATGGTTACAGAGGATGGAGAAAAAGGGCCAAGAAAAAATGGGCCATTTGGGGGCATTTTAAATAAAGAGAAAAACAACTTTTCGGTAGAACTTCATTTCTTTTTCCAAAAGGTTAGTAAAATACCTCAAAATTGAGCTTCATAAATCATAACAGTTTTTAAAACTTTTAGTTGTAAAAGCATTTATATAGTGTTTTAATAGAACAAACCATGAAATTATAGCAACCATCAGCCATATGGGATTTGACAAAATATCAGAATTCACTAACCTGTCCCTGGCAAAGATGGCTCCAGTTAATCCATATGCCGATGACTTACTGATCATCTCTGCTGTCTCAGAGAATGTGTTGTCTGGGTAGACATACACCGTGACTACAGGACCAAAAATCTCCTCCTTCATCAGTTTGTCATTTAGATCATTCGTTTCATAGATAGTGGGCTCTACGAAGTATCCTTTGCTGTGAAATATGACAGAGAATCCAATTTCTTTATGTGACTGATTTAAAGTAAAGTCTGGTATATGATTTATAAACCTGCAGGATGCAATTCAGAGGTATTTACACTAGGAACAAGTTCAGACTTGTGCAAAATCTTCCAATTGTGGATTCTACCCCAATCTGATGGTCCCTTATCAAGACTAAACACAATGCCATTTTACTTGGTGTAAACTACTACATGTGATTACACTCAGATTTTGATTACCTTTTGTCACAGTTTCCACCTGCCAATGTCTTGACACTGGGAGATGTCCGGGCATAGTCCAAATAACTCTTGATCTTGTCAAAAGCCTACAGGATACAAGAATAATTACACACTCAAAGTAATCATTCTTTCTACTGGTGAAATGTGTCATTTGGTCTGTAAAGAAAACTAGCTCTTTCAAAAAACGAATATGCCTTGTACATTGAGAAATATCCAAATTTTTACTACAATGAATGTTGGGCATCACTCACATCACCTACAGGCACTTCAGAAGGTATGCACTGACAGGGATGTATAATTATTTTGAAAAGGTTCTCAAAAGAAGCAATGTACTGAAAATAAAATTCAAAGCAAATAACCTCCTCATAAATGTTCACTTATAAAAATGTATGAGTATTTTTCATAATTTTGTAAGTGCCAACAGACTTCTTACCGCAGCATCGATGACAGCAGAGTAGAATGATGAGAAGTCACTTGGCTGAAAAAGAAATAAAGCAAGTCAGTCAACAGATGTGACTAAAGATCTGACAAACTTTCCAAAAAAGCTCAAAATAGTTACTGTGCATACAAGAAGCTAAAGTTGAAAACCTGAAAAATTGGGTAACCATTAACAAAATCCAAGAGTTAAGAACTGAGTATGTTTCACTCACCGGACCAATTTTGATCTGTTTATGAATCTCCAGCATTCCTTCTTTGACCTTTGACCACAGACTCTCAGGCACATACATCCTGGAACATGCAGAACATTTCTGACCACCAAACTCAAAGGCAGAACGGACAGTGCAGTTAACCACGGTGTCAATATCAGCTGAAGGATGTATCAAGTGATAGTTCTTCCCACCGCATTCTACACAAGAAAACACAAGATCTCTGATCTTACTTCACTAGCTGCTGGGAATTGCCTGAGCACCAAGATCAAATAGAAGGAATATTCTCTTGCTGCCTCTTCTACTGGATTCTGTAGCGTTTGATGTTACTGGTTGATAGATTCACCGCAAGAACATAAAGAAAAGGAGGAAATGTCACTTACCTCCGATGAGTCTTGGGAAGGTTTTGTAGATGTCAAGATTCTGGCCTACTTGCTTCCACAAATGCTGAAAGGTTCTAGTAACAGAGCAGTTAAATTATTTCATTTTTCAGGGGATCCAAGCATTCATCTTGTGTCTCTGAGAAAAACACAGACCTTCATGAGAAGGAATTTAAGTCGGCTCTTGTACTTCTACTCAAAACTTTGGGGATACAGAAAAAAAGTTAAAACTTACCTAAAAGTTATCAAAGACAGAAAACGTTACCTTTAACTTGAAAATCAAAGCTTGAAAATCACTTCTTGTTTTTTGAGCAGGAGAGTAATTTTATAAAAGGGGGTACAGATCATTCCATTTTAAAAATTGTTACTTTGTACTGCCGACGAACGCTACAGCAGCTAGGTCTGGTGATGCTGTGATGGTGTCTCCAAACACAGTGGCAGGTGCAGGGATGAAATTAATGACACCATCAGGTACACCTGCTTCTCTAAGGATCTCATAGACTTTGTAGCTTGAAAAACAACAAGCAGGACTGGGCTTCCAAACTACGGTGTTGCCCTGCAGATTAACAATCAATCAATTAATTAATTAGCAAGCACAACAGGTGCTACTCAGTACGCTTTGAAGACATACATGTATACTGGTAGATGTAGAAAAGCAGCAAAAGTGCCAACAAAAATAAAGCCTACAGATGCTTATTGTGCAGGCCATGACAATTAACAATAATAACAGGTATTTATAAAGTACACATGTCCACTAAAATTGATCCTCAATGTGATACATCATTATTACCCCTGCTCACTGAGCAAATAATATATTCCAAATACCATCTCAGCTCGATCCCTGGGGATTTTAGAGGTTAATGCTGCCCTTTTGGCACACGGCAGCTCAAATCAATCATGCTAACCATCTCTGCCCTAACAGGCACCCAATCACTCCTGGGAGGGGAGACGCAAGAATGAAGAAGTCAGATGCATTACCAAATATGGGCACACTGGTCATCACTAAAATACAGCAATTTCATCCAACTTCAACGTTTTATACTTCAAATTAGCAACGCTGACTTTCTTATTGTATCGGTACAAACGTGTTGTAGAACCTAAAAGCAAATCAAATTATTGGAAATGGAATTTTTCAGCTGGTGATTTTTGTTCAATATGCTCTAAGTTTAAGAAAAACATCCTGTGTCATGGAAACACCCCCAAATCCCTTGAGTGCTGCTAGAACGGGTGTGATTGGTCAGATTGCATAAGGTTTGTGACATATAGTCTGTCCAAATAGGATAATACTCCAGACTGTAAGTGCCTTGCCCAAGGGCACATATGACATGACTCTCGGCTGGACTCAACCAACAACCTGCAGCTTTATTCACAGTCCATGAATCAATCCATGAGGCCAAGGCACTCCTTGTAAACCAGTTTGGGATTGACATACAGCCATAGTGAACAAAGAAAGTTGGTCTGTCAACGAGTGTTCTTGAATTTCAAATAGGTAGTCATGATTTGTTTCAACACAGAAATCTTGACGATGAAATCTCAAACTTACTGAAAATCATACACAAGGCATCTAATGAGACTAAAGACAACCTCTCATGGAAGGAATAGGCACATCACATTTTATGTTAAGAAACATGATACTTTTAGCTAAGTGATCTTACCATCATGGCTGGGGTGCCTGCTAAGTTTCCCCCGATAGCTGTGAAGTTGAAGGGTGAGACAGCAGCAACGAATCCCTCTAGTCCACGATAGAGCATAGAATTACTACTCTCTTCAGTGCTGAGCGGTTGAACATTAATAAGATCCAGAGCATACTGGCCATGAAATCTGTAGAAGTCAGCCAGCTCACAAACAATATCTAGCTCTGCTTGTAATGTTGTCTTGGCCTGAATCAGAATAGAATGGACTATTGTTACAATTAACTAGCCAGGTACTTACCGACTTAACTGTTTTTGGTTTTCTTTTGTTTCTTTAAGTTTTGTTTTATTTTTTCCTCACAGGATCTCCAAAAGTACTGGACAAATATTTACGGCTTATAATGTTGCATCCCTGAACGACAGTAACTTGCACAATGTATATCCAAAGAAAAATAACATTTATTACAATTATGAACAGGTGGTTTACTGTATAGCAAGAAAGTTGTTTACATTGTTCAATGTTGCCAGACACACTTTAGTTTAAACTTAAAACTGTAACAGGAAGGATCTGTGATTGTTTCTAAAATATTATTCCAATGATCAACAAGTTCTACATTGTTTTTGAAGCAATCATCTCCCAGGAAAGAACCTTGTACAGTTGTGAGCAATTTGGTTATTAACCTTTATGACCAATGAACAGTTGTCATGTAACTTTGGTTGTTGACTTACCAGGTTGTCAAGTAATCAGTTGTCCAACATAAAGCGGTCAACTAACTTTAGTTGCCTCAACTAACTTTCTTGGTCAACTCTGTCAAGTAAGGATTCATCTTGAATTATATATCAGTTCACTGGAATCAAGCAATCCCCTTTTGAATTTCCCACCTGTCCCAGCATGACGGCAGCTACAAGATCAGCTCTGTATTTAGTGGAGATAAGATCAGCAGCCTTCAGGAAAATCTGGACTCTGTCCTCCAAGGGTCTAGCTTCCCAATCTGTCCTGGCAGACAAGGCTGCTTGGATTGCTTTGTTGATCAACTCCTAAGTCAATTCAAGGTTATGTAAAGTTCACCCTCGTTAATAAGATTCTGCTTAACACAAGAAAGTCTTAGACCCCAATCCTTTGTTCTTTATTGCTATATATTTCCTGATAATACAAGGTTCCTGCTATAACAAAGTTACATGTATCTGCAAAGTCTGAAAGGCCTCTTATTAACGAGGTTTGACTGCAATGATTAGTTATACATGTAGTTACTTGTATTATTCAGTCAACTGGAATTACTTCATGTACAAGATGTTTGGTTATTTTATTTATTTCTAAATTTAGAGCACTTCTGATATCTTGGACTGCTCATTCTCAGATTAACCCTTACCCCTTGGCACTTTCAAAATCCTGCATAAACTTGTTGTGTTCAGAATGGTTAGGGCTAATATCAGTAATGAATCATTTCCACTTGGATCACTCAATGCGCTTGTCCAAAACTTATTTGAGCCACTGACAAAATATTTGATGAAAGGAAGGAAATAACGATCTGTGGTCTGTATCAAGTTTCAAATTGGTGATTTGAAACAACTACATGTACATGTACCCGTACAGACATGGTCATATCAAGAAATGCAAAAAGACCCCAATGACACTGAGGTTAGGGTTGTGACCCCTTGAAGTCAAAATGGCATAAGTACCAAACAAACCTGAACAGTTTCAATACCTTGTTTCCGTAATGCACAGAGGCCAATTTGTGGCTGTGGTCAAACGGCTGGAGAATAGAAAGAAGGAAAAGAAAAGTCAATTACTGTTGCTTTGACCATGGACACAGAAAAAACAAAACAAAAGCTAAGGGATGAAAACGAATCATACACGAATACAAATCACCATACAATGATGGGGCACGTGGAGTGATGCAGAGAATAATGGGAAAAAAAAATCCAAAATTAATTTACATCTCCCCAGCGCAAATTCATCTTTAAAATAGTTGTTCGCGGTACCCGCTGCTACATCTGATTCAAACCAACCATCAGACAAGGGCAAGCTCGGTGGTCGAGTGGTTAAGACATCTGCACTAGTAAGCAGGAGGTTGTGGGTTCAAGTCCCAACCGAGTACATTTGTGGGTTTTCACAAGACCTCAGGAGCATACATTGAATATACTGTGTTAAAACTACACGTCGGGCAGGAAAAAAAAAAATCCAAAATTAATTTACATCTCCCCGGCCCAAATCAATCTTTGAAATACATGTACATGTACGAAGCCATTCCTGGACTTCCTTTTTTAGGGAATATCTAAATAATATCTAAATTTTCTTGGGAATATCTGTTTTAACAAATTTTAAAGTTCGTCTTCTTTTCCGTGCAAGTCAAATGCATACACTGAGCATTGTTATTTACTGTAGGGAAATTTACAGAGAGACTTTGACTTGTCTTAACTAAATAAAGGAACATCATGGGACACAATGCAAAAAAACATTCCATGTAACCTTTGGATTTGAGCTGGTTTACAATGCTGATCATTATCAAATAAGTCAAACAAATATTATCCACTTACAATTGACAACATTCAGGTGTATTATTTTAAACGTCCACATAAATGACATAAAAAATTTGAAACTGTAGGCATACATAGAATCAAAGCAGAATGAAATTGCAATCAAAACATTTATTTCATGTACAAGATGAAGCTCATTGTCAGTTCTAGATTTTTTCACACAAGCAAAATGGTGTATTGATATTCTGCTTCTGATTATTTATCTGCAAAGTTCTTTCCCTCATGAATTTTTACATTTTGAATTTGTTAATCCTACATGTACATGATTTTGCATTTATTTGTTTGCAACATGGAGATAAATACTGTACTTACAGAAACTTCTGTTTGGACATCATCAGTGAAGATTTCCTCCCCACCAATAACACAAGGAATCTCCAGAACAGTACTGCCCAACCTATTCAAAGCCTACAAAAACATTTGAAAAAGGAGATAACAATCCTTGAAATAAAACAATTCTTAATTTTCTAACAAACATTTAAGTGAAACACAATCAAATCACTCTGTGAATGATTCAAAAGTGATAAAAGGATATGAACTGCATTTGTGAATAAAGGTAGAAGGTGAAAAAGATGCACAGACGTAGCACCTTTGATTAAAATTCATCACCTACCAGCATTGTATTCGAGACACGCATCATAAACCGGACAAAAAAACAATGATAGGATATAGACGACAGGAAATGCTCAACTCATGTTGAAATGTAGTGTACAATAGTGTACATCATGTAAATGTATACATGTCCATGTACTGTATGCACACGCATGAATGTGTACAATAGTCATGACATTTAATATGCCATTGCCATAACCACAGGCAGGGTGTATTTGTACAGTGAACCTTGCTTGAAGGCAATTGTTAATGCTGAGCCCAACACATACATGTAGCACCTGACTATCCCAACAAATCCAGCTGTTCCAGCATTATGTAGCAATAGGTTCAAAATATGAATGACTATGCAAATGTCACAAAACAAGACAACTGCAAGCACACATGTACATGTACCATGTAAACAGGATGTAACTTTGGACCTAGAACACTAAACCTCCAAGTCTACACATACAAACAGATATCCTAGGAGGGGATCCATTTACAATGAAGTCTTTATTTCCAATTATTCTTGGTACAGGCATTTATGTGTACCTCTTCAGTTAGCTTCCTCTCTGGAGAATCCTTGGCATATTGCTTGATGGGTTCATTCTGAGCTTTGAATGACAAACATCGTACCCTGTGTCATAGAAAATAGTGTTTAAAACTATTTCATTCAAACAATGAAATGCATGATACTCATCCATCAGCCCAAAAAACTAAAACAATTCAAATTGTCAATTATTTCAAGGCATATGCCTTTTCAACAACGTCTAAAAACTGTCACAGACTGAATATGTTCTTAATTGATTTTACGCGACTTCAGGGCCAGGTACATTTGGTTCCTGCCTAACTTTATACGCAAAATGGCAAAGTTCTCTCTTTCCCTTTTTTTTATTTACTAGAACACTGTTAAGTGAACTAAATTTTTATGTTTCATTAGAAAATCTTCTTGATAGGGTGGTTTTTGTCTGAAAAAATTGATTTCTTGCTTGCTTATTTTTTATGCATGAAGTGACGGTTTCCCAATAACTTGTTTTTAAAGTACTAGCCAACCAGACCAGTAGAGCCACATCTTGACTGGTCCGCCAAGGTTTTGACTGGTCCTCTATTTTTAAAATTTCTTACATAACCTTCACCGAAGTCTGAGAATTCCTCACATTAAAAAAGAAACAGCTGAAAATAAATGGAATTGCAAGTGCAAAGTAGTATTAGCCTATACAGCGTGGAGTCCCAGTCCTGCTTATGGACCCTGGGAAAATTTTGAAATGTGCATGCTCTGCGGTGCATTTTACGTACAGCCTCCTTGGAGCTGGTGCAATCATTGGTCATTTTTTTATCTGGCAGTTTATGAAATTTTCAATTTACCATTTTTCTTAATATTTACTTGAAACTTTCTGAAGGTTAAAACGAACTAGTAATGTAGTATACGAAAGGTGTAAATATCTAGGTTTGTAGAACATGTAGAGTGAGTTGGCTTTCCCCACCTGATTCGACCACAAATGCGAAACTGATCTACTAGTACATGTGTCCTTTCTCTAACGTTGTGGTGAGACTGTGCCTAGCCAAATTTGATCTTTATCTTGATCGATATACTGCACAAATTGCCCCAGATGTGGCTGTTATCGTGCAGTCCGTCATGCGTCGCCCAAGTTACATGTGTTGTAAAGACATGTTAACTGATACGAGAGAATGCTCAATTAGCTGGAAGTCTGAGAATATTTCCAGGTTTCCGGTTCACTTCAACGACCCATGTCACGTGTTATTCTCACACGTGACTGTCGGTGCAACTACAAGTTCATGAAGTTCCCAAGGGAATGTTCACGTTATCATATAATGGACACTGAGCGCGAGATCACCTGATCTGGCGTATCCAAATTACAATACTAACGTCCTTGGCACTACCTAGAATTGGAAATTACACGAAAACCACATTAATATTTGCCTAATTTTGACCTACTCACCCTTGATATGCCCTCTGAAGAAACAGTCTTGTTCTAAGCATCTTGTCGTGAAATGTTATGGTGCTCAACCCGCTCTTTGCCTCAAGAAATACATGTACGACACGAAACTAGTAGAAACCCACAGGTTTCGAAGTCTGACGCCTTGTACAAGGAGCTTGCATTTTAGACGGTTATGCAATGTATCAAGGCGTGCGTTACTGGTTGGGCATCTGCCTATTCTCGCCTGGCCTTGCGATCCAGCACGCAGACACATCGCGCAATAATATGGCCGCAAGAGGGCTGACTTTGTTCACTATATTAAATGTTTGATATTATGCAACATTCTTGAGTAGGCTTGCTTCGTCACTTAATGCCCCCCCCCCCCCAAAAAAAATGCCTTGGAACTATTTGAAGTAAGACGGACCTCGAATTCACTTTGTTCAAGCATTTTTACAGGCGATATTTTCATAAAATTCTTGGGAGGGTTATGTTACGTGCGCGGTAAGCTGCAGGTGTGGCAGGGGTGTGTCATAGCAACCGACCAATGGCTGTTCGGGCTTATTTTTTAACTCACGTACAGTACATTATGTTAAATTCTGCCCGTATATCTGTATGTAATCCGAAGAGCATGATCGTAGTGAAATAATTATTATACATGTAGTATCTTTTAAACAAACGTAAGGACGTTTATCCGTCATGATAGTCTATAATTAAGACACTTGATAGCTGTATACGATAACGAAATTTACACTTCCCAAAAATCATTATCCGCTATGGTGGATGTATGGGGGGTTACTTCCCGGGCTAAAAAAAAGGAAAAAACGGGGATGCCTGGTACTACGGTATAAAACCACCTTTTTTTTTTTACCAATGTCCACATCCATCTGAGCAAACATGGACCCACCCCTATTTGGCGCCCCCCACCGCCGATCGGTACTTATACAATATTGCCGGTGTCTGTTGCAATTCACATTTTCGTTTTTGGAACTAGTGGAGTAACAGTCTGAACGTCATGATTCATCACAATGTCATTCATGTTCAATACTACGAGAGTCGATCGAATTCAACCGAAATGATGTGAAAGTCGCTCCAGATCCATAACATAACCACTACGCCGGGTAATCCAAACACTCACTCAGGCCAACACGCAGGCGATGATGTGGGGTATGCCCAGATTAATGCACGGTGTACAGCTACTTTTGGACCGTTGGCAAACGCAGCAAACGGCGTTTATGTTTACGTTTAATCTCCACACGATCTACCCCTCCACTTTCTGTCGCCCGTCCAATCCATCCGTCTGCAGTAATAAATTATTTTCTCTCGAAATTTTGGTTTCCCAATTTCTATAACTGTTCGATCTCAACAGACACTCCGTAAATTTACAAAGCGAACTGAAACACGTCCAAGATGGGTGCCTTACCACTGCGAGGGGATCAGTATCGCGTTCTAGCCAATATCGCTAATGGTGAACAGTGAGAACAGCACAAATGGCAGAGTTCTGACCAATAAGCAGTCTTCCAAGGTCAGCAATTTTACACTTCAGGGGAACCGTTGCATCCAACCCCATACGTACCAGCAACAAATGGAGTCATTCATTTTAAAGACTCTCGAAAATTTATACACCGACATTTGGAAATATTTCTTGCATTCTTCTGCAAGGCTAGTATAAAGGTATCTCATCACTTTTCCAAACTAATCTCCAGACAAGAGGCAACGCATTAAATGTCCCGTAGTGCGTAAAAATTGCGCAGAAGTACTTTTAGGTTTCGTATGCAGCTAGTGCACGATGTTTGCTCCTGTAGTTATAGTCTGATGCTAAATGGCAGTCAATTATTTCTGTCCACTTCAGTAAGAGTAAATCAAGGTCGACAAATAATTAGAATCACAAAGTATTTCGACAAATCAGGAACGATATGAAATGCATTCATCCTCTGGGGAACATTTTTCCTGACACTCGCAAAGCTGGTGTTAGTTTCTTTGACCGTTTCTGGCCCAAAAAAAGAAGCTGCAGAGATGACGCTGTTGTACAAAACGGTTGTCATGGCAACCTTTATCTACATATGCGTGCTATCATCAGGAAAACCGGTAAGTTACACTTTTTGAAGATAAGTTTATTTAATCTGATCACGGGGTAATAAGGACCCATATGGGAACAATTTGATGTGATTTGATGTTGGGAAATAGTATGCTGTTTGGGATGTTTCTTTCTTTCTGCCAAGAAATTATAGGATTTAATCCAATTATCAGATCCGGGCATTCTACACAGCAACTGCCCGTCAAAGTTTAACTATATTTGTGCAAATTCATCAAAATCTGGCAGCAACTCATTTTCTCAAAACAGAAACACTTCTTTTTGATGGAAGTTTTCACGATTTCCAATCGAATCAATTCAATCAAGTAAAGCAAATTAACAGCACTTTTCAATCTCTGTACAATTTTATAACGGAAACACTCCCACTAATACATGTACTTTGTAGTTCTTGGTCGATTCAATTTTTAACAACTATAACATATCATAGCAAATTTTTCCTAAACATAAGTTTGTCTTTACATTTTATGATACCATTACAGATTGGCCCGTACCATGATATTGAAGTGAAAGAACCAACTGCCATGCCTATAAGGTCCAAGACTGGTCGCGACTTCAAGATTAAAGAACCAACTGCCATGCCAGTGGAGTCCAAGACTGATCCCGACTTCAAGATCAAAGAACCAACTGCCATGCCTGCGGGTCCAAGACTGGTCCAGACTTCAAGATCAAAGAACCAACTGCCATGCCTGCTGGGTCCAAGACTGGTCCAGACTTCAAGATCAAAGAACCAACTGCCATGCCTGCTGGGTCCAAGACTGGTCCTGACTTCAAGATTAAAGAACCAACTGCCATGCCTGCTGGGTCTAAGACTGGTCCCGACTTCAAGATCAAAGAACCAACTGCCATGCCTGTTGGGTCCAAGACTGGTCCTGACTTCAAGATTAAAGAACCAACTGCCATGCCTGTTGGGTCTAAGACTGGTCCTGACTTCAAGATTAAAGAACCAACTGCCATGCCTGCTGGGTCTAAGACTGGTCCAGACTTCAAGATCAAAGAACCAACTGCCGTGCCTG